GTCTGTCTGTCTCTCTCTCTCTCTCTCTCTCTCTCTCTCTCTCTCGTGATTATATTATGTTGTTAATTACAAAGATTGCAGCGGAAATACTTGGAAGAATAGAAGATACATTGCAGTTGCATGATAAGTATATAATGATTTATTATTCTTCTTTATTATTATTATGTAATACATCTTGTATTACATGTTTTATATATAATAATAATAATAATTATAAAATTTGTGTATATATATAGGATGAAGAAACATGAGGGCAACAAAAAGAAGAATGAGCAGGATGGTTGCACTACACGTATTGGCAGCATTAGTTACGACAAATGTCACATATTTTACCAGTCTTCTATGAAAAATGAAACAATTTAGTTTTCTGATTTGACATTATTACAGTTTCTATATGCACATTTGTCAAATATCGTAATGTTCTTTACATTGTCGTTATTTATTTTTATTCAAGAAAAACACCAGCAACAATCGAAATCAAACTGTCTGCCGCGGACGAAAATGCCGAGAAAGCACGCAATTTCCGCAAATTTCCATGAACCTCGTGATTTGTTCGAAAAATCTACATTTTCGTAGAAATTGTACATTATTTGGATCACTGCACAAGTTAAAATTTATAATAATATTTTTTAGTAAACTGCGATAAAAAATCGTATACTGAAAACCGCAAACAAAAGTGTAATGGAATAATTTCTGTGAGCAAATAAGCGAAAAAGTAAACAAATCGGCAATAGAAACTTAATAATTTTCAAACAGAAAATTCATGAAATTATCAATGATTACAAAGTTATAAAAATTAAATAACTCGTGTTTTCAAACTTTGTTTGTTTGAAAGAATCTTTAAAACAGAATCTTTTAAAAAATAGGATCTTTAAAATTTAAAGAGCCAAACGTCGGAAGAATTAAAGCGCTTAAACGCAATGAAATAGATATGCAATTGTTTTCGCTTATCGCGGCGAGCTCACAAGCCTTTAGCGTTCTCGAGTGACCACTTCGGCGGTGTCTCACAGAACACATTCTATTGAGCTTTCTTACGCTTTTTAATATCTTACGATTTTTTATCGTAGTTATTGAAAGATATTGTTGTGAATAGTGTAACGTGTGTGTGTATATGTGTGTGTGTGTGTGTGTAGTGATTTTAAGAAATTACTACTGTTTTAACGAAATTGTAGTTTCGATAAAAGCACGAGATTCGCGGAAATTCGCAGAGATAGCGTGCTTTCTCGGTGTTTTCCGTTTGCGGTCGTCGGTTTGTTTTTTATTGTTGCAAGTGCTTTTCGTGGATCATCAAAATGGAAAACAATAATGTAAAGAACATTTCGATATTTGACAGATGTACATACAAAAACTGTAATAACGTCAAGTCAGAAAACTGTAAATTGTTTCGTTTTCCACGGAAGACTGATGAAAGATTTGACATTTGGATAAGAAACTGCGGTAAGTAAAAATACAAAATTCTTGAAAATATATAAAATATTTGATGATAACAAAAGCTAAATATCGTGAAAAAACGGCTGTTTTACAAATTTTTAGTAATTTCTTAAATGAAATTTAATTAAATTTTTTTGAAGTACACTGTGTAACAGTAATGTCAAAAGCTGGACTTTAATTGTATAGTAACGGCGAGCGGAGGACAAGGAAAAATTTTACACAAGTGCGAGCCGCATACATATAAACTTCAAGTAAAAGTTTCCCTTGTCCTAACGCGATTGTGCGACGGTGACTCGCCACTCAGCTTCTAGTATCTAGCTATATAATAAAATAATAAATATATAATGCAAAATATTTAAAAATATTTAAATCACATTTAACACTTATATTCTTTTTAATAAAAAATTGCATGTTTAAAAATTTAAAAATTAATATTTAATGATTTAATATATATTAGATTTTATCACACACACGCATACACACACATACGCGCACGCACATGTTTGTGATAAAATATCATATGTATTAAATTATTAAATATTAAAAACACCTTTAAAAAAAAATAAAACACTTTTATTTAAAAAAATCATGGAAGTTTAAAATGTGAAACAAATCTTTTAAATAGA